TCCCGGCACAGCAAACACCACATTATCTCGCTGTGCAAAGGCTTCATTAATCAAGCCAGACAATAGGCCAGACACATCCCTTTGAGCCCAGCGTTGGGATCCTCCAGGCTTTTCACCTTGTCCGAATGCCTCGTCCCTGCCAACGCAGGCAGCAGCTCTTCAGAACCACTCGCTCAAAACTGCAGGGCTGAAAGGGAAACGTTACCTAGTTCAGCTAAAAGAATTCCCCAGTTATTTTATATTTTCCCTTTAATTTTTCATGACTTGTAGAAGCAAAACTTTTTCAGTCTTTCAGTCAGTGCGGGAGATGAATCCGCTCATTTGTTAAAATGCTAATGAAAGAGCCTGATAGATCTGTGTCCTTTAAAGCAGCAGCAGCAGCAGCAGCAGCAGCAGCAGCAGCAGCAGCAGCAGCAGCGTTCAGACCGAGCAAGATGGAGTGGCCTGGCCAGGCCGTGGCCTCGCTGGCAGGAGCTGGGGAGCGGCCGGTGGCGGGAATAGCGTGGCCGTGAAGGTGCCATCCTTCAAAAAGAGGATCCTGGCAAAAACGTGGCTTAATGCAGGGCACTGCGTGGCCAAGGCGAGGTAGGGTGTTGTGTGCCAGGAACGAGTGTGGGTGCAGAGTGTCCCCTTTCCCTCACTGCAGCACCACGAAGGCGCAGCCGCGTCCCTCGGGCACGGAGCTGGCAGCGGCACACTCGGGCACGGTTTGAGCCTCCAGAGGGATATTCTCCATCCCAGATCTGTAAGGAAGGGGTTAACTCGTGGTGCCTGTGGCAGGCTCTGCCTTGTGCCAGGCTGTGGCACCTCAAGCTGCAGCTGAGAGGGACCCTGTCCCTCCTGCCATGGGACCCCAACGGGCACTCGTGGCATTGAGCGTGGCCCTGGATTAGAGAGCCATTTCTCCTGCCCTCTGCTTGGTTACTGCAGGCCTGAAAGAGACATTCTGTAATGAGCCAAAATAGTCTTTCTTGCACAGAAATACAGCAAAACTGATTCAGCTTGAGGAACAGAAGTTGGAGGAGCGGTGGCACACAGTGCTCTGGGGTGTGAGGCACAGATGCTTTCAGATAAGATGGCAATTGAGACCTTTGTCTGTGACGGGTTTGGTTCAAATTCAGCCTCTGGGCTCACACCTCAGTTCAGTTTAGTTCTCAACTTAGTTCTCGTTTCTCCAGGAACGGGGAAGTGCAACATAGTCAATCTCCTCTTTCCTCTTCAGACAGCAGCAGACACTTAAACTAGGACAGGGTAAGTCCTCACATCTGCTTGGACACAGGAGTGACTGAATTACTGAGGAAGCAGAGAGACCTGAAATCTCCTTGACATCCTCTCTGGATGCTTGGCCTTGGAACAGCCTCAGTCGGGCAATACCTGCTCCCTTCTGCTCGTGGAGCCTCCTGTGCCACGCGGGAGACTGGAAAAGCACTTGGAAATGGCTGAAGAGGAGGGATGCTTCCTGGCAAATGGTCTCTAAACCAGGTCCTTTCCTGTGCTGTGGCTTTCCTGGGGCTCACGAACAACACGGAGCCGTAAACAATGATATGTGCTCATATCTCAATCCTCCAGGATTAATTCAAAATCCATGCACAATGACGTGCCTGAAGGCTTTTCAATTATGTCACTAGGCTTTGGCTAGGGCCCTGACATTTTTAATAAACATTATATAGCTTTAAGTGCTGCAGTCTCCAGGTTTTTGTTTAATCAGCCGTTGGGTTCTGCATTCCAGGTTCCTGCTGGAGGAACTCGTGTCGCCCGCCCCGTCACAGCAGATCCCACCCGCTGCAGCGGACACTGCGTGTGCTCTTGGTGCATCAGAAAGGAGGAATAACAGCTTTCAAGGGACTGTAACATTTAATAAAAACATCTTATTACATTTAAACGTATTAAAATGTAAACATTACATTCAACACGTTAATTACTGTTTCCAGGCATGGCCACTGAGAGCTGGATCCTCTCAACTGCTCTGCTGAGATTGGTCTCTGCTGTTACTGCTCTCTGATTACTGGTGTGTTATTAGTGCTCTGCATTTGGGACTTGAGGCATTAACAAAAAGGATTTCTAAGGGCATTATGTAAATTTTGTGTATGTTTTGACAAAGCTACCAGGGCCTGTGCTATGGGTCTAATTGAGAAAAAGAAAAGCAGATGTATTCAGCTGTGCCGTGACTTTTCTGGGTCCAAGGGGCTTCCCCTCCCTTCCCTGGCTCTCGAGCAGAGGCTGGGGCAGACTGTGCAGATGCACTGCTCAGGAAAATCAGCAAATCCCACGCCGGGGACCCCTGGTAGATGAGAGGCCGAGGGAGAGACAGGGGGATGATGTGGCACCTGGGGAGGAAAAGCCTGGAGGAGATAAGCAGGGCAGGAAAAGCTCTGGCAGGGACCTTTCCTTCTCTCTCTCCCATCCCTTTTTTCCCCCTGCAGGTGAGCACCCTGTGGTGCTCAGCTCCATGAGGTGAATCCCGCACCTTTCGGGATACGGCTACACCCCGGAGGAGAGCAGGATGCTGAAGGACACGTGGCTGCCTCCCTAAATTAAACAGAGTGTGAAGCTGTTAAGATTAGTGCACATCAATCCCTGCGCTTGAATCAAGAGATGCTTTGGTTTGGCAGCTACTGGGGACAAAAACCACCATTTCATTCAAAGTGTATTTAATGCGACAGAAGGAGGCAGATTCCTTTGACAGTTTTACAGCTCTTATCAGATTACATCAAAATTAAATTAAAACAATCTAAAAGAAGTGTGAAGTACTGCAGGGAGAACACAAACAAAACACTCCTCTTTGTAGGCTTTCAGGGACAGGGACCACGTTCCTTATCGGGGAAGGGAGGAATAAGATTATTCTTGAGTCAATTATGAGCCTGTCTGTGGGATCAGCGGCCACAGTGAGCACTGAGACATGAACAGAGTGGGAAATACAGCCAGGGAACCAGGCTAAGGCTCCTTATTTCCTTAATTTTTGTTAAATAAACAGCAGGGGTTGAGTTGTTCTTTCCTGACAACACCCTCCAGCCTCTCACAGCGAAAAAACCTCCCAGGTTTGGGACAGCCCAGGAGACAAACAACCCCAGTGGGTCAGGGATCAGCCCTTTTCCACCAAAACCTGGAATCACCGTTTGGGGATAAGGTTTTCAGTGTGTTGATGCAACCTGTGTTCAGCATTTTAGACGGCGCTGGAAGCGCTTGGAGGTTTTGTACTACTTTAGGTATTATTTTAGCAAGCACAAATATTTTCAAAAGCAGTTGAGTCTCCCAGAACCAAACCTGGTGTGTGGCTGGGACAGGCTGAAGGAAGTCAGAGTCTTTCCTGGCTTTGAAAAATAACAGAACTGTGGTGTGGGGCAGTGTTTTCTTGTGCAGCCTCTGACAGTTTCAGCCCCGACACACAGCGACACGTTAAAACCCGTGTCAGTCCCACAGAGCACATTTCATGGCTGATACTCTGAAATAATAAATAAAAATGAAATAATAAAAATAAAAAAAATAAACAGTAAGTTTTTTGTGTCTCCCCTTTGTGTCAAAGGGGAGAGTGTTTGTTTTGATGTAGATAATCAGCAATGAGAAGCCTTCTGGAGGGGGAAAAAGCAATTTTAACTATGAGGCAACCATGAAAACCTTTTTATTCATATTTTATCTACCCCTGGGACTAAGGAAGAACCTTGTGCTGGACCAAGGCTCCAGGGAATTCGTAGCCCTACAAGTGGCTCTCTGAGGGCAGAGATGTCGTGTCCACGGCTGAGATGCCAGAGCTCCATGTATTTGTAAAGGAAAGGACAAGCTGTGGGGGGCTGTGGTTGTAAGGTCGGGATCTGGGGGGAAAATGCCCAGCTTTGGAAATTCAGGCAAGCTCAGGGCCAGATTTCACCTGTGGGCTCTTGTGAAGGTGTGAGATCTCCCCAAAACACATCTTGGCTTTCAGTAAACAAAGGACTGAGTGAACAGTGTGTCCTTTACGATGGGAATTCAATACCTAAAAAAGGCTCCCAGATCTGCAAATCCATTGCCTGGTGATCCCTGGAGTAGGAAAGTTCTGACCTGAGCCCAAGCCTTCCACATCTTGCTGAGCCTGTTATTTATACGGATACACAGAGGCTGAGCCAGGCTAATCTGAGGGCTGCTGAGTCCCGCTCCCTGCATTCCACACAGCTCTTTACTCTGAATTTAAGTCTGGTGGAGCTGAGTTGGTAGCCGAGGGTGTTGGAAAACCCAAGGAGTGCTGCTGGATAAGCAAAACCCGGCCGAGGAACCCCCCAGGTCCAGCCCAGGCCCTCAGGCAGCGCCTGCAGCTCCAGCTGACGCTTTCATGGGGCTGTTGTTGGCCAGAAGTTCTAACGAAGGATAATTATGATGATGATCTCGCACTAATTGTACACTGATTGCTGTTCTAATTACGCTTAAGCATTTCATTGCTCTCCGCAATTTCGTCTATTGATGTAGCATTTCTCCCTAATTTCAATTACTCCCGCGGTATTCAGACTTTATTGGGGCACTGGAATTCAAGCGCTAATTTGGCAACTTCCTTTCAAAGGGATTGAAGTTTTTATCTGGAAATGAAAGATGAGGTTTTTGTTTTCATTCCCAGCTGGAGATGAGAACACTGGGGGGGGTTGTCGGGGCTGGAGGTGTGTCTGTGGCTTCTCCCACATGGATTTTGGTGAGGTGACATCACCAGAGGGACACGATGGCACTCCAGAGGATGAGGAATCAGGGTTTTTTCGTGAAAAATGCAGCATACAATAAACTCAGGGAAATCAGCTGCTAGAGGGGGGCCGTGTTACTGTAACTGTTGACCAGCTCCCGGTTATTTTTGGAATTGGCGCTTTGCAAAGTCCCTATTTCCCCATTTTCCAGGGGCACAGATCCCTGCCTCGCCCCAGGTCTCCTCCAGCACCAGGCCGGAGGCTTGTTTGGGCCCCACAGCCCCGCGAACAGCAACACGTGAGGTGGCAGGTGATCCTGACACCGGGATGTGACACCGGGATGTGACACCGGGATGTGACACCGGGATCGGACAGAGCTGGAACGGGCACTGTACATCCCGACAGTCCCCGAACCTGCGCCGGCTCCCCTGCTCCAGCAACACTCTCTGACCGGTTCGAAACCACCCAGGGCTTCAAAAAATGCCATGAAAGCTTTAAAAACGCCATAAAAGCTTAAACACGCCCCAAGGGGCTTTAAAGCGCCCGTCTCCATGGCAACCTCGGGGGCGGCACTTCCGGCGTCTCGCGCGGGGCACGGCGGGAGCGGCACGTGGGCACCGGCGGAAACGGACCGGCAACACCGGGAACACCGGGAACACCGGGAGCACCGGGAACACCGGCAACACCGGCTACCACCGGCACCCTGGAGCGCTGGGGCCGCCGGCGGGACCGCCAGCCCCGGCACCGGCTCCCGGCACCACCGGGCACCGCCCGCGCTGGCACCACCGGCCGTCCCCGGGACCGACCCACCGGCACCGCCGGGCACCGGGACCCCCGGGACCTCTGGGACCCCCGGGACCCCCGGGACCCCCGGCTCCGCAGCCTCCGCGACAGGTGAGCGGCCCCGCGCGAGTCGGAACGTTGTGTTTCCAGCGCAGGTGAATCCGCGAAGGAGAATCCAGCGCCCCGGCTGCGCCGCGTCCCGTCCCGTCCCCGGGGGAGGGGGTGCCGGGGGTACCCGGGGCGCCCGCAGGGCGCGGCCGAGGCTCCGCTGGCGTTCACAGGGGCTCTGGTTCACTTCAGCAAACCACGCCGATAAACGCCCTCCCGGTGCCGAGCGGGCCCGGGCAGAGGTTCTCCTGCCGTGCCTCTCTCGTCTCGGAGCACCTGGACGGTGTTTCTGGGCGCCGCAGGGGGTGCGGGCTCAGGGAAAGGCGCCTGTCCGTGGGGATGGGGCTCAGAGCCCCTCGGAGCTCCGCGGTGCTCCGGCAGTGCCCGGGGGCTGCTCCGGTCGCAGCGTGCTCCGCCCGGGGGAACCCCTTGGGATCGCTCCTGGCTTACAGGTAGTGTTCTGTCTCGCAGGAGGCTGGTGCTGGGGCTCAGACATCGGCATTGCTGTTATTTCTGACACCGCCCGGGCCCTGAGGATCCGAACTTGCAGGTGGCTCGTGTTTCTACAGGGCTGCTGTGCATCGCTTCCCTAATAATCCTGTTGTGGTTGGACTGCCCTGAGACTCGGGCAAAACCCGTAACTGGACCTTAAAGTACACTGCAGACACTGTTTGGTGTGTTACAGTTCCTAGTACTGGCACTTTGTCCGCTCTGAACACAGAAGTGCTGCACGCTCAGGGCACTGTGCAGGGGGGTGGGATCCCTGTGCTGTGCAGAATCATGAAGGATTAGTTCTGAAGAGCCTGAAGTGACGAGGGAATTGGGGCAGGGAGTTTCTCTCCCGTGTTCATTGCACCCCCGACCCTGTTGGGGTTGCTCAGCACTTACTCTGCTGATTACTCAGCACTTACTCCTGGGCAGCTGCAGTGAGGAGGGCAGGGTTTGAGTGGTGTGGGCATGGAGTAAATGAATTATGCAGTGAAGTGCAGCACTTAACTCCCTGAGTAACTTGGTAATTAGAGTAACTGGGCAATTAGCTCAGCTGTGGCAGCCAGGCGGGTGCCTCAGGTGCTTCGGGTGCTCCAGGATTTGCAGGGAATGTGCACAAATGCTGAGGTGTCCTAAGCACAGAGTGGGAACCGTGTGGGGCTGTTCCATTCAGGAATGGAACCTGCTGGTGTCAGCTGTGTGAGGAAGAAGCTGCCAGACAGGCCCCCTCCCACCCTGCTGGGGCTGGCTGAGGCTCCGGGCTGGCGAGGTGGGTGAGCTCCATGCTCATTTGGTGTCAGACTGGTGCAGGAAAACCAACTGTGACAGTGACATTTCCCACCTGCACGGGCAGGTTGTGGTGCCCACGGGTTGGGCAGCTTTCCATGGACTTATCTCACCAGTGGCTGGAGCACTGCTGCTCCCACACTGTGGATATGCAGCTGGAGCACAGCTGGGACCTCAACCGCTGGGGCACCTCAGTCCTGCTGGTTTAAGTGGGAGGTGAGGGGTCAAAGTTGCTGCAGAACAATGCCTGGGGGATGGCAGAGGTTAGAGAGGGCTTGTGGCTGGCCAGGGAATTGAATTCTGCTCCCAAATCCCAAACTGACACTCTCTCTGTAGACTGAAGACTCAGGGTTGTTTGAAAATGAGCAGCCTGGATCCTTACAGAGCTGTGCCAGTGCCACGCTGGGCACCTGGAGGGACCCTCTGATGCCTGGAGGGGGCTTGTAAGGCTGTGTCTGCCCTCCAGGAGCCCTTCCTGGTGCATTCCTGTGCTGCCTAAATGGCTGCTGCAGGCAGGAGTGGGATGCTGAAAAAGCTGGCTGGCAGGAGAGAACAGGCATTAGGGAGCTGAGGAACGTGCTGTGCCAGCTGTGGGATGGGAGGGTGGGAAGCAGGATGGGAGCCAGTGGCAGTTCTCACCCCTCGGCCTCCCCGTTCATCAGGGTATCTGTGTTCTCCACTGGGGCAGCAAAATGATTTCAGGAAGTGTAAAAACAAGCTGTTGAGGTCTGTGTTTGCCTGGCTGTCCGTGGTGAAAGAGGAAATTGCAGGGATGAGATCCCAGGTGGAGTGTGGCTCTTAAACTGTGTACATGACATGAAACCCTAATCGCCTTCCAGGCGGTGGCAGGATCAGGTGGGTAAAATGGACGCCTTGATGTCTCACGTGGAGCAGCAGGAAGGGGTTTTCCTGCCTTTCCTCTGCACAGGGAGGCTGGGAGGAGATGTGTTTGTGTGTAGGGAGAGCCCAAATCTGTGCCCAGATGTATGGAGATGTGATCTCCTGCATGTGCCCCATCGTTCCCACACCCTTTCTGCCTGTTCACAACTGGTTGCTATTTTTTAAGAAGAACTTGGGTTTTGGCTTTGCTCGTGGCAGGGTTTGTAATGGGATCTGCTGGAAGTCTCTGCCTTAGCTCTTGGTTATTTTATGTTTTTTTGTTCGTGGGATGGTTGCTCCTCCTCAAGTGCAATTTGCAACTATTAAATAACAGCAGCTTTGCTCTGGTCCCAAAAACAGCTTCCCTTTGGAATGGCTTTAGGTGAGGTGTTTGTGTTTCAGCATGTGACTGTCCCCACAGCCTGTGCCCTGATTTGAAGTCCAATAAAATACTTGGCTGGCACATGGGGTCTGTGATCCAGTGAAGAGCTGGCCGGATTTGGAAGTGTTTTAAGGTGTTGACCTGTCCCTGTGAGAGGTTCTGGGGTGTTGTCCTGGGAACAAGTCCAGCCAAGTATTCCTGCATGGAAAGGGGTCTGCTGTGGGATTGTGTGGGGGAGAAAAGGAGGGGTGAGCTCAAGAACTGCCTTCCCTGTGGCTGGGCAGGGTCTCTGGCTGTTCAGTGGGTCCTGTGTGCATGTTCAGGCCTCTTTTCCCTTTACAGCAACCCCGTTCCAGTGAGGAACAAGGAGGGAAGTGAAAGCTTTGAGGTGCCTGCTTTGTGCTGAGCTGGGCTGGCAGATCGTGTGTGACTCCCGGCAGAGCTGAGCTCTCTGCTCACCAGGGGCTGTGCTCTGCAAAACGCTTCACTTCTGGCATTCTGGACACTTTAAACAGTGAAATATTTTTATCTTACTCTGTGTTTGTTTGTTTTCTTGCAGTGAAGCCAAAAGGCTGGAATTAGAAAGGCAGCTGATGGAATACACAATGGCTGATCCATACCTGTAAGCCTGTTTAAAAGCTCCTTGGATGTTATTTTATTTTAAAAAGGTGTCCCTGGCTCCCGTTTCCCCGTGTTGGCAGGAAGGCTGTGTGGCTGCCCTGGAACCAGATAAGGGAATGGGCCTGGCCAAAGGGGAATGTGGTTTGTAGGTGGGTGAGAACTGGTTCTGATGGATTTTTCAGTGCCTGTTTTGGTGGCACTGTGGATTTAGGCAGCTGTGAGACCTCAGGCTCAGTGTGGCTGCTCGTGTGACTCCCGGAACACGTTCCTCTGTGGGCAGCTTTCATTGGGATTCAGTGCGACATGAGAACATAACCCGTGTAAAACACACATACAAGAGGTTTTTTTAATGCTTTTGCCCTTTTGAACACCAAAGCCCCTGTGTGAATCTGCAGGGAAGTGGCACATATATGTGTGTATATATATATATATATATATATATATGCAGGAGAATGTGTGTTTTTGGAGCCCTGGGGGCAACTCCCCTGTCAGTGCTGTCGCGTGTGAGGAAAAGCGGTTGCAACAGGTGCCTTTGTTTTATTGTCACGCTTTCTAAGTGCAGCTCCTGTTTCCCTGTAGGATGCAGGTGAAGTCCCTGGAGCTGCAGAAGCACCTGGCAGCAGTATCCGAGCGGCAGCAGTGGGCGCTGCGGCGGAACCAGTCCTACCGCCGGGAATTCCGCCGGCTGCAGGAGCACATGGACACCACAGGTTTGGAGATGATCCGCAAGATGGAAGTAACTTTCTATAAGACCTGCTGCATTCATTGGTGTTTGCTGTTGTTGTACTAGCAAGGAGATTTCTGCACGTGCAGGTGCTCGGGGCGAGCTGGCTCAGGATCCCCGTTTCGGGTTATAGAACGGGGGGCATCTGAAGCACCTCAGACTGCTAAAAATAAAGTCAAGCCCTGAGGACTTTTTAAAAATTATTATTACGTTGTCTTGCTATTCCCCAGCAAACAATCTGGGATGTTGCAAAGTGGTATCGTATGGTGGTGACTTCAGATTTTTAAAAACGAAGCTGTGACTTGTGCTCTCGCCACTAATGCACAGAGCTGGGGTTTTGGGGAAGCACAGTCTGGGAGGGGAGTGAGCAGTGGCATCCTTCAGAAACATTTGGCTGTGTTTATTCCTCACACAACTGTCACCCGGGTAGTGCCTGTTTGGATCTTTTCCTGGCTGCAGTGAACCCAGAGCTCAGACTGTCTGTGGAGAGGGTGTGGTTCCCCTCACTCTGATTTTTAGTTGTTACTTGAAGCAGAGCAGGAGGAGGGGTGTGCCATGGTCCCAGCTTTCCCCTGCTGTTTTCCAGGATTTGTTTTTTTTCTCAGCAGCCCCAGTGCACACCAGTTTGACCAGAGGCAGGTTGTGGTGGTTCTGACACCCTGGGTGTGAGTCCCAGTCGTGCCAGGGGTCGATCTGCACGTGGGGTTTTTGTTCAGTCCTTCCATTTTGATGTTTCCGTGCCATCCATTTTATCTTTGCCAAGTTACAGTTATTTTTCTGAGCTGCTGAACAAATGACATCTCCTCCATGCTAGTTATGAAAAGCAGAAGAGTTATGGAGCATGTAATCATTTAATCTATCGTGGGAGTACACAGACAGAAATTATTACTGTTTTCTCTTCTTTTTTTTTCCATAGAGAATGCCCTTTAGGAGTGCTTTATCACAACTCTGGGCACATTTATTATGTGGCTGTAGCTCACAAAACTTCTTTTGTTTCTGAAAGATGCACTTTTGTTCCCTGTGTTTGTCTGCAGTTCGGTCAGTAATTTTTAGGAGTACAAATAAATTCACTTAAGCTTTCAGGAAAATTCAGGAGTTACATTTGAGCTTCTTCTGAGCATCCCTAATTGTCACGTGGTGAGGTTTTGTTTGTTAAAATTCCATGTTTACAGTTTCCCGAGCAGCCTCTTACCTGGGAACTGAACGCACCACTGGAGCAAAGGGCAGAGCTGGGGGAAGTTAATTGTGTTAAGGATTTGTTTTCATGCCTGTCACCTGCTGCAGAATAGGTGCTGAAGTGCTTTCAAGGCCGCCCTGACACGTTTGTTGGGGTTTGCAATTAGGAACAGACAGGATTAATTGCGGGTGCTGCCCGTGCTGTGCCGAGCCCTGCTCCCGGCGCGTTACTGCTGCTCCATTAAACCCTGCATGGGCAGAGCCAGGCCTGGGGGAGCAAACACTGCATGCAAAACATGCAAACATGCAAAAACCTGCCCTGCATTCTCCCTCTAAGGGCTCAGCCAGCTGTGGGGTGGTGTGTGACAAACACGTCCCAAAGCTGGTTTCACCCCACGGCAGCCGAGTCGCTGTCTGGGGACAGCAGCAGTGACTCAGTGTCACAGATGATGGCTGGGATGCCATAAATTCGAGTCAACAAGTTAACTGCTGTTCCGTGGGATTCTAAATTGCAAATGAATAAATGTGTGTGAAAGCCCTGCAGCAGACTGTGCACAGGCCACGCTGCTTGGCCGGGGGAGCAGAGAAATGAGGAGAAAATGGGATCTCTGGCTTTTTAAATGTAGTCTGAGTGAAAAAGGCTGCGAGGGCTTTACATTTAAAGGTACACAGGTTGCAAAGTAATATCTGTTGGTTTGTATGTGTGGGGGGTGGATTTTGGCCTCCAGTTTTGTGTGACGGATTTGTTCCCATTTAGGCATGGTATGGAAGGGAAATTAAAAGCCTGTTATCCCTTCAAGAGGGCAGCTTGTCAGCAGGAGGTGACAAGGAGGAAGGATCCAGCGAGCAGGTAATGGGGGGGAATGGGCTTTTTTCCAGGGCTGTGCAGCCTTTCCGTGGGGATTTCAGTCCTGGCGTGTGCAGTGTGAAATGGTGTTCAGCGCCTGAGTGAAGGAGAATCACCTGGGTAAAAAGTGCAATTATTTCAACCAAAGAGCTGGAATTAAAAAAAAAAAACAAACAACCCTGATTGTTTCTGCACGTCTTGTTGGGTTTTCTAATTCCTGTGCTGGATAGTGTGAAAATGGTCGTGGCCAAGGGGGAGTGTTCCTAACGAGGGGTATTTGTGGAAATGCAGTGGCGGAGCCGTGCGGTGTGCTTATAATTTTGTGTGTTTTGACCTTTCCTCAGAAGAAGCAGAAGGAGATTGCATATCTAAGGAACGGACAAAAAGACTGACAAGGAATACTTAAAATATCTGCTGCCATATATCTGCAGTAATGCAGGCTCCTAATCCCTCCTCCTATCTCCATATAAATGATACAGTTCAAGACCAGAGCCGCTTCCTCCACTGAAAGCGGCAAAGCCCTTTTAGATGAAATGTCTAAAAAACCATCTGGTAATAACTGGGAGCGTGCTGGCAAGAGTAGTCACTTGTGACTGTGTGTGGGAGCCCCTCAGCCAGGCGGCGCCGGCACGGGCAGGACGGGAGCGTCTCTCCATGTCTCTCCATCCCGCCGAGGAGCCGGCGGCGCCGCGTCCCTCAGGCTGCAGCATTCATTAAGGGGAGCTTACTGGGCTGAAAGCTGGGAACAGATGATAACGGGATATGATTTTCATATTTAATGCATTCCTTGGAAGAGTGTGTGTGTGCTGCAGATTGATAGAAGAATCAACTGCTACTTTGCTAAAAGACTTTCTAGTTTGCCCTATAGCTACCGATGGAATCATTCAGCCAAGAAATTAACTTTTTCCCCTTTTACCTGCTTTATGTATCTGCTAAGCAGGCTGCTGGCTGCCAGGGAATGTTATTATGCAGTTAAATGTTTGGTATTTAAGACTCTTATCAGAAAAGAAACAGAGGCCACACTATTTTGTTTTTATAGTAGGAGGAAGGTTTTTGCTTTCCTTTCTTCAGTGCATTAGCAGTCGTTAATCTGAGTTTATAGGAAGTTTTCCCCATAGATTAAAAAGTTAAAAACCTTGAATTTAGAGCATTCTTTAAACTGTAATATACAAAGCAATGAACCCGAGCAGCCTTGACCTATATAGGCCAGGCCTCCAGCAGGGTGGGAATGGCGGTTGGAACTGGGAGCTGTGGGGAAAGACGAGTTTATTTTGGAATGCTGGGTTGCTCAGTTAAAGCAGGTGGTGTGGGAGATGAGATTTCTAACCTATGGAAAAGTTGACATCGGTACTAGAACGTCAAAGGCTCATGCTGTGACTTGGGATATCCAGGATATGGATCACGGAACTGGTTTCATTTACCAGCACTGGAATTCCTTCAGGCAGGTTGGGATCCAGGGACTGTGTGATGAGCCCATCAGTGGCACATCCTGGGGACTAAGGACAATCCTAGAAACGGTCTTCCAGTGATGGTCAGTATCCCAATGGCCTGAATGCCCCCAGGAATACCTGGACATCTTTGAGATGGGGGCTATGCACCCTTTTGGGGTCCCAGTTTTTGTGGGAGTCCTTAAGCTCAGAAGTCCCGCACTGAGGAGGTCCATCCTGGCTGGCAGAGCTCCTGAAACCTTTGTGCTATGAAGTCTGGCGTCTTCAACTTGCAGGCACTTCCTTGAAGCCTCCTGAAGATGTTGGACTCCTGCAGGCTGGCACTGCTGTGTCTGTTGGCTGTGGGCACCTCCCAGGAAAACCTTGAGCCCCCTTTCCCTGGGAAAGGGGTGTTCCCAGGTGAAGGAGTGCCTGGCAGGGACAGGCCTCTCACTGGACCTGCCCTCCAGAGCTCTCACCTGGTTGTCTGCTGCCAGGGGACACTGGGCCCTTCTGTCAGCCCTAGTGGAATGGCTTTTCTTGTCTCTGTTCTCCTCAGAACACTCTGATGACAACCAGAGCGATGGGGTTTGTCCCTGGAGGATGGTGGGAGCCTGCCCTCCAAACCAGGCGAGGACTGAAGGTGTGTGTTTGTGCAGAGACTTTGTTCAGCTCCCAGCTGGGGTGACCTGAAGTTCAGCCATTTGGTGACTGCTCTGGGCAAGACACCTCCAGGTTTGCTCTGTTCTGATGGTAAAAGCAGTGCCTGGACCAACATAATCTGTCACATTTCTGCTTTGAGAATGCAAAGGTGCTGAAGGGATGACTATTTCTCTGCAATCCAAGAGAAGCTCGTTAGGGATGTGTCTGCTGTGACTCTGCCAAGAGCTTGTGCCTGTTTGAATTCCATTTGTTTTGGAACACTGCATCCAGGAGCTGCCAAAGCCATGCAGGACTGGCAGGAGGCATTTGAAAGCATCAACTAATTAATTAGGAGGAACCTGAGAGCAGTGGTGATGGAATAAGCTGTGAACTTAATCTGAGTAGCAAACCTTTGCTTCTCCTTAAAATAACTTCATGGCTTTTTGTTCTGCTTCTTGTTACGTGGAATTTGAGCTTTTTTTAAGGAACCTTGGTCACAGACCAGACAAGATGCCTTTGTCTCCTTTCAGCTGGGCTCGGCAGCTGACTTTGTGTGGGAGGGAGAGGTCAGGCAGTGAAAGAGAGGGGAGAGGTGTGGAGGTGACTGTAAATTGTCCTGCTGGGATTTGGGGCTGGAAAGGAAGCCCTGCTCAGTGTGAACAATGGCATTACGATGGCTAATTTTGGCTTTGCATAAACTGGTGGTGACCCTGCAGTAGTGGTGGTGGCAGTAGCCACTCCTCCTGAATTGTCCTGATTGAGTAGGTTTGCAAAGGAAAAAAGGCAAGTACTAAAACACTGGGATTTAGCAGCAGAGTGGTTGTACTCCTGGACCTGGGTTTTTTGTGCAAGTTCAACAGTTCTTGGAGGAAAGTGCCATTGGAAATGTGTCTGGTCGGTGCCCCAGGAGGGAAAGGGAATGGTGTGAGCTGAGGAGCTGCCCTTCCTCTGTGCTGTGGTCTAGCAGCCAGGCAAGAGCAGAAGGCCCTCATTTTCACACTGGGATGCATGGAATGCCTGCCAAGGGATTGTGTAATATTAATGCCGTGGCAAACACTTGAATGCTGTGGTAGTTCTCTCTCCAGAAAGCAGTATGCCATCCTCCAGAAGCTCCCCTTGCAGCAGGCTCCCCATGTGTGTCCTTCAGCCATGTCCCACTGTGTTTCAGGTGCCACAGGCTGGAGGACGGGCAGGAATTGGCACCGAGGCAGCCGTGCCAAGAGAACGGTTCCATCCAGCCACAGCCTTCCTGGGCTGCCCCACCCCAGCTGTCTCGGCCCCGGGAGGTTTGGGAACGCAGCAGGAGCCCCCCCAGCCCCCATTCCCTGAGGGATGTGGTGCCCAGAGCCGGAGCAGCGCTGCTGGAGAGACCGAGGGGTCCCTGGAGGGAGCACACGGGGACCTGGCTGCCAGCGAGGAAGGCTCTGAGCAGCTCCTCTCCTCAGCTCCTGACCCCACACCAGCCACCCCCGAGGAGGGACAGCTGCAGGGAGGTGTTCCAGGTACGGCAGCAGGAGCAGGCAGTGAACTGCAGGGTGTGGCAGCCTCAGGGCGTGTGTTCTGCTGCAAGGTTTGAACACTGGGAACAGTCTTGGGGTGCACTCCTTTCCCCTGAGAAAAGCTTTTTCCAGCTTCTCTGTTTGATTGTTCCTCCAGAGCTGATTGGGTCTGGTAGCTGGTCTCTGTGCCAGGGTGGTTTTTGAGGAGTGCCACGTTTGTTCCCAAACCCCAAAGGCTGGAGCCTCCCCAGACTCCCCCTTGTGAGAGGAGTGTGGAAGGACACAGGGCTGTGGGCAGGGAAACCCACAGCCAAGGGAAGCAGAAGGATGGCTGGATGCTCACACACACGTGTGAAGGGACAGGGCTGAACAAAAAGTGTGGGTAACCTGGGTTTCATTTCCTACGCTAGGATACAGTCCTTGGTCCTGCTGACGTTTTGGGAAGAATAATGAATTCCTCTTTTTTTTTTTATTTATTATGACAGGATCAAAGTCTGTGCTGAGTAACTGGTGGGCTGGCCCGGAGGAGAGCAGTGCAGAGCTCCTGGTGTCCAGCAGTGCCGAGGAGGGGGCGACCCCCGGCACTGCCAGCGTGGAGCAGGAGCCGGACGGGGATGCCCAGGCTGGGGAGGGCTCCCCACTGCCCCCACTGAGCCCTACCCTGGCACAGCAGGAGCCCTGGGACAGCTCAGCACCACACAGGTATGGCCTTCCCTGCTTTCTCTCTGCTCCAGAGGCTGCGGGTCAGCCACGCTGCTCAGGGCACTACAGCCCAAAGCCCTCACCTGTCCTGTGGGACCTTGGACCTGTGCTGGGGGTTCAGTGGCTTCAGGTACCTCCCTCGGGTCCGAGCTGGCCGAGTGAAGGGTGTTTGTTGTTAAAATGCAATAGCTGTTCTTCAAATGTACACAGATCTTACCCCAGTGGCTCTGGATGGCAAGTACCTGTCACTCACTGAACAGCCTGTTTTGTGTGGACCAGAACTGCCAGCTGGTTCAACCTTTTGGCCATTTGTCTGGAAATAGAAAAGGAGGGAGAACAAGGGCAGTGCAGTGCAGCCCCATGTCCTCTGGTGCCGTGTGACAGTGTGGGGCTGTGTGGCCAAGGACTGCAGTGCCACAGCAGCGCCTGTGACATCCAGCACAGCCGGATTGTCGGCCTTGCAACGCCCTCATGAGACAGGGAAGTGCATCCCCATCCCAGCAGGGCAGTGCCCACCCAGAGATGGTCCCTGGGGCTGGCCCAGGTCCCTCCTCGTGTCCTTTGCCAACCACTGGCACCCCTTCCCAGGTCCCCACTGGGGTTTCAGTGGGACATCAGGCAGCGACCACACACAGAGGAAACCAGTGCTTTTACCCCTGGAGAACAGGGGTAAAGTGCTCCTGGGGAACCAGTTCTCCTCTTCTGCCACTTGGCTGAGTTTTTCCATCCTGGTTGTTCGCAGCTCTCAAACCTGCTCAGTGCTTCTGTTCCCCCAGCATTCCCGGTCCGTGGTGTCGGTGCTGACGTCAGGGTTAGTTGGAGCGTTAATAGGTGACAGCTGAGCAGAAACAGGCACTCCTGTAACTTTATCAGCTCACATTTGCATCGGGCCGTTGCTCGCTATGGAAACATCGCCTAATTTACATGTAAATAGCTTTTCCCCAGTGTTTCCTTTGTATCACACCTGTTAATCACGGCGGGGCCGGGGGAGTGCCGGTCCCTGCCGGGGCAGGGGGAGCTGAGCACCGGCAGTTCAACCTGGTGTTCTGTCCCTGGCCAGGCCTGGCTGTGCCGAGGCTGGGGAGACGTGCAGGGAAATCACACACGAGCTGAAACCACGGCAGGGAGGGTCCCTCCCCGTGATGCCGAGCTGAAAGCTGCCCTTCCTCAAGGCCGGGGGAAGTGGGGTCACCACTGCTGGCTGTTTCTGCAGCAAAGATGCGGGTTTTGATTTGTTTTACCTGAAAATTGAAAGGCACATAAGCTGGCAGGAGAGGAGGATCTTGTGGAGGGAGGAGCAGTAGTTCCCTTGTTGTCCTTCTGGCCGGGTGGGCTTTCCAAGGCACCCAAAATTCGGTGTGTACCCTCGAGCCTTGCAAAATAATCACTGAGCTAAAGAACTTGTGGAAAGGCTTCCGAGTGATCAGTGCATGAATGTCAGTTGTACAAGTTGCACACACTATGAGAATGCAGCTTTCTTTGGTCAGAGTGTATCATGCCATGGACTCACAACAGCAATAATTCCAGCCCCTGTGGTGTTCTCTTGCCAAATTCCTACTCCGGCTGCAGAAATGTGCTGACATTATACCAAGCTCTGGGTATTTGCTGTCTGAAGTCAAAATCTCTGTAACCTGGGCTCTCCCACTGCAGCAGTGTTGTCGCTGTGGCATCCAGAGGAAGCACTGTTCCCTCTCCTGGAGCACTGGGGCTGTTTGTGCACTTTTGGGGAATTATCTGAAATGAGTGCAAGGGATGGCCTTGAAAGGAGCAGAGACCATGGCTGACTGCAGAGGCAAAACAAAATCCTTGTTGTGTGCCAGGAAGTCACAAGTTTTCATCTTTGGAGCAAATGCCTCTCCTGTCTTACTGCAGAGATGCCAGTCTCTGTTTTTTAAAGAGTTTTGGGTTTTTTTCCCCCATGGTTAAAAGTTGGGAGGTCACGTGTTAGCTCTGGATGAGTTCAGCCTCATTTCCAGGTGCCTTCCCCAGCTAAAGGAGTGGTTACCCTGACATCTGGATGTTTTCACAAGCAGACCCACGTGAGCCTGGGCTTTGTTTTCTGGTGATCAGCCTCCACCATGTGGGGGCTCGTTGGGCTTGTGAAGGCACCAGGACTGCCCTCCCGACAGCCCCAGCCCTCGGTCGGAGCTGCTGATCCGAGGGGAAAGGCTCCGTGTCCTCTTACCATTCCTTGCAGCACCCAGCCCTTTCTTTGAGCCTTAAACCCGGGGGGGAGAGAGGCTGGGGGAGAGGGTCTCTGAGAATTAGTGCAGAGAAAGATGATGACTATTTTAAGGCCTGTGCTGAGGGGGTGGAAAAAGGCAGAGCTTATGCCAGTGCTGCTTCAGCTGCATTGAGGGGGACTTAGCACAGATGGATTGTGCATTACAAAATGTAACACATAATTCAAGCTGTCAGCTTAATCAGACTGTTTCCAGGAAGCAACCTGTAAAAGAGAAGGACCTCTTGTTTGCTGACCTCTGATCCGTAGCCTGCTGCAGATTGTCATACATTTTGTTTTTCTTTATGTTGGTGTCCCTTCCTTCCCCTTCCCTTTTTATTATTGTATCCCTCTCGAGTGGCACCCTGGAAGGACCACCCAGCGGGAGGAAAACAATGGGAAACGAGCCTGCCGCTGGAATACAGGGTTTGTAAGGCTGGGGGAAAAGAGAAAGCACTGTTTAACTGCCTATGTGATCTCCCGGGTATTGTTTTGCTTATTAAATGTCTAGGAAACTCGACCAAAGGCACGGCAGCTCCCACTTAATTGTTCACTGTTGCCCAACACTGCGAGGGAAAGCACAGCTTTGGGTACAGCTCAGCCCGAGGGCGAAAACGCTGCAGGTTTTTGTGCTCGGAGCTGCTCAGCCGGGGCACTGCCAGCCGGGGTTAACTGTGGAAACGTGGCAGCTCCTGCACACGGAGCAGAGAAATTAAACTCCCTCCTGCCCCAGCTGGGGTGTTCTTCGCTGGTGGAGACCTGGGCTGGGAGCCCCACAAAGCGGCAGCCGGGGCCCTGAATAGCCATTTACACCCCTGGTCCGGGATTAGCCGCCGCATTGTTTCAGTGGTTAAGTCCTCATTTGCATCATTATAGAGGTGCAGCCTCATCAAAACCCCTCTGAGGTCCCCGGGCTGTCCCCATACCTGTAGGTGGTCAGATTTGTTTCGATTGTGGAGGTGAAGGAATTAAACTGCTCGGCACAGGGGTAATTTCCATGTGGCATCTCAGCCCAAGGGCTGATTTTTGCTGGTTTGTTTGCTCGAGTGTTTGGGGTTTTTTTTTCCCTTCCTACACAGCTCGGGCAGTGTGGTTTTGCTGTTTGCTTTGAAAAGCTCAGACGAGGGTGTTTTTTTTTTTTCCAAGGGCTGCAACGGGAATGTATTTACAATACCTGTGCACTTCGGGTGGCTCCAAGCCCTGTTTGTCTATCCTGGGATGCTGGCAGGGCATCCCGGCCCTCCGGAGGCAGGGAAACACAGTAACTCCAGAGACTTCTCAGCCAGTCACTCCTGCGATCTGCAGCGCGAGTCTCTGGACAGGGAACATGATTTCGAGAAGCAATTCTATTTTTCTACGAGGCAGGAGATGCACGTGGCCTTTAAAAACAGCAAAAGTGCGTTTGGTTTGTTTGGTTGGTTTTTTTCCCGGTGCATATGGCACAAGGACAAGCAAGAATTAGTTGGGTTTTTTTCAGTCTCTTTAACGCAGGAACGAGAACAATTTCCATTCTGTCTTGCTTAGCTCCCGTCTAGACCTTCCTCCCGTCGCAGGCTCCGCAGTGCTCAAGTGCTGGCAGGATCGGGGCACTCGTGAGCCTGAAGGAGGGGCTCTCTGCCGATACCTGGCTCTCCTGCCGAGGCTGATACGCCTGCCGGCACTAATACCTTGTTGTGTCTCCTGAATGGTTTCTTAGGGACAAACACTTGTGGAGTTAATTGGAATTCACTCCTCTGTGAAACTTCACTGGAGCAACTGGAAAAACAAACATCTTTGGCAAACAAGGTTGCAGCGCTGAGATTTTCTAGGTTAAAAGAGGAGCCAGGGGCAGTGGGTGCTCAGCTGTGCCCTGTGGAGTGAGGCCTCAGGGATGAGATAGGGATGCAGGAAAGGTGAGGCGTGTCTGGATCCTGAGCCTCAGGACAGGGACAGACACCGTGACAATGGTGACCCCGGCCCAGCTTCCTCACGTCTGCAGAAGTCACAAGTGGCTTCTTACAGTTTCCACTCTGAGCATTTTCAAAGTAAAAAGTGGTAATCAATGACAAACGTGTGATGGCTTTTCCCACCCCCTTGTCCAGACCAAGGAGTCTCACGCGTGGGGTGTCCCGCTGACGGTGCTGGCTTTGTTCCTCAGGGACACGGTTGTGCTGCAGAGTCACCTGAGCCACCATTCCCTGGTCCTGGAGCAGCACCGGGCTCGGGCCCCGGAGGGAGCAGCAGAGATGTCTGACGACCTGCTGGCTTTGGAGGCACAGGACAGCCAGGTGGGCACCCGCACCTTAGAATATGTAATTTTGCCTTTTTTTGGCCCATGGCGGTGACTTCTTTCTCTGAGGGCTTTAGGGTGTTCTGGGAGCCCCACTGGGTGGTGGTGTGCACAGCTGGGCTGCAGGGGAAGGTGCAGAAAGGGGCCTTTGAGCTCTTGATGTACAAATGGAGCTGTTGAGTCCGTCAGCACCTCTGGTCTGAGGCAGGTTGGTGATGACCAGCAGCAGGTCCAGCTTCCTCGTCTCTGATCACTGAACCACGTCTGTCTTCTGTTCTAACTCACTGTCACATCGGTGAGGAGGGAGCAGACGCAGGACAATAAAACGTTTTGGCTAGAAATCAGTTACAGATCAGTTAGGAAACCTGGAGTTCTCTGAGGTTCCTCCTCAGCACCAGAGGCTCATGGTGTTGTTAAACAGCTGTTTACTGAACGCTGAGTTGGAGCAAAACATCGAGTAGATTTCACAGACTCAAGTCCGTGTTTTGTGTCCCAAAACAAAGGCCAGAGGAACACCCTGCAAGTAGGGTAATTTAACACCTAACAGAAACACGCTGGGAACGTCGGGGAGCACTCCAGGTGGAGAATAACGGGCTGTGGCTATTCTTGTTTTCAATGCTGCAGGCTCTGCCGGTGCTGAGAGAGGCCCTTCCAGGAGAGCGTGGGGATGGGTCACCTGTCCAGGGTGAAGAGTCGTCCTGCAGTCTGCCATCGATCCCGACAGACGGCGGGGAAGGGGAGCAGGCGGAACGCGCTGCCCGGCTCACCGGCACGGGAGAACCAGGTAACGGTGTCCCAGGGCTGGCCCCGTCCCCAGGTTCCTGCTCGGGACATGGGTGTGTTCTGCCCAAATCCATATGGGGCTGTGCCATAGCCACTGGCAAATTAGTGTGGATTTGTAATAGATTTGGGGGATTTTCCTAAATATCTCAGTATCGCTTGTCATTCTGGTTACTTCCCAAAATTAGTGATACCTGTGGTGGTGGGACTTTCTTCAGGAGTTAAAAAGCCAAGCCCTGTGGTGTGTGCACAAGATCTGTGGGTGTGCACATGTTTACAAAGCATCTCCTGTTTAGAAACTGGAGGATGTATTTGCTGCCTTTTGTTACTAAGCCAGACTGCAGAAGGACTTACCAAAACCAGAAGGGTTCATGGAGGGGGAAGTGTGCACAGCTATTTCCCAGCTCAGGAGGTGAAGGTGTCTGGGAATCCAGTTAATTTCTGTGGCTAAGGAAGGAATACATCGGTGCAGTGAGGGCAGCTCACTCGCTCTGCCCTCGGAGCATCCCTTCCATCCCAGGCTGGGCACAGTTAGGCTGCCGTGCTCTTTACACAGCAAATGCAAACACACTGCTTCAGGTCTCCTAAATTCATGCAACTGTTATTTGCAGAGGTGGCACAGACTTTGATTTAGGCTGATTGCCACGGTGGGTGTGATCCCCTCTGCTGCCGCTGGACAGGAGCGCAGCTTTGCCGCGGGTTTGTTGTTTCCCAAATCCCGTCGGGTCTCCAGTTCTTTAAGATGTTTGGTTGGCTGGGCCTTGTCTGGGGAAGCTACAGAGAGGCAGGGCGGCTGTGGCACGAGGTGAGTTCCCAGTAATGGATAGTTTAGATCAATAAAGAAGAGATAACAAAAGTGAGAAATTAAAGGGAGTGGGGCTCAAAAGCAAACAAACCGGGTCTGATCGCCGCGCTTTGAAAGGGTTTCATTACGGCGCGTTCACATCCAGGAGTCACAAGCTCGTGTGAAGATGAGAGCAGGGAAGAAAGCTCAGTGGAAAAGATTCCCATTACAGGTGGGAGGGGTGGCTGCATATTAACCTTGAGCCCAGCATCCAGCCTGATTATCCAGCCTGATAACCGTGGTGGTTCGGTGCTGCGGGGCCGCTCACAGGGGGTACATTCGGCTGCTGCACACGGAGCGCAGAGAGGAAAGGTCAGATCAGACAGTCCAGCTCACACTGGCACAAACCAAGGTGGAGAGCAACGGGGCCTGTTTGGTTCCTTGTAGTCCTGTTGCACACTCAGCCCGTGTGGATATCCGGCCGTCGAGCCTTTCGGGGCCGGGATGGGTGTTACGGGGTCAGTCTCTGTGGGGAAGATCCAGTAATTATTGGGCAAACCACACGTGTTCCTGGTTTGATTCTCTCCTCGAGGAGTTGACTGGAGTTGTTAGAACAAGTGTGGGGCAGAGCCCTGCTGGTGGGAGCTGTGCCTGTGCCAGCCAGGAGCTGTGGCTGTGCCTCCTGTACCAAAACTGCCTGAGAGCATGAATTCTGGGCAAAAAGGCTTTACCCTGCTCTGTCCCCCTGCCCAGCTCCCTCACGCTGTGGTGTTTGGCCACAAAGGTGCTGGTGCAGGCGTGTCCTCAGCTGCTCCTGCAGCCCTTGCTAGGGCTCCCTCCAGCCAGCACCATCACTGATATTCCCAAGGAGAATTCCGGCTCCCAGGTTTGGATCTCTGTAGCTGCCAAGGGGTTTGGTTTGCTTCTCCCCACCCTGAGTTTTATGACTTGCCAGTCCTGGTTTTAGCCACTGAGTGTGTCAGGGAATTCTCTGTTGCAGATTTTCCTGCCAGGGACCCTGGGGGGCTGTTCCATGTCAGTCAGGCAAGAGCCACGTCCTGGTGATCATCCCCCTTCCCGATCTCTCCCAACTCTCTCACAGAACAGACATGCAAACACAAATGCTTCCTATGTGTAAAAATGGCAATAAACCCCTTAACCAAACCCAGTAACTGCAGTTTACATCCATCCCTTCCGAGGGTGCTGTGTTGGCTGTTCTGCAGCCACGTTGTCCCCAGGAACGAGGCTTCTCACCCCTCACTTGAAAGCCGAGTTGCTCCTTTCAGACACGATTCATCTTCAGCCCATGATCTTCTCCAGGCTCCTTGTTGTGCTCCCTCTCCTCCCTGCCAGCCAGCTGCTCTTTCCTTTTTATCATCATTATTTGCTGTGGCCCCAGAGCTCTGAAGTTTTCTGTGCCTAAAATAGAAGCAGTGGCTTTTGGGCTGGAACAACTCGTTCCAGGGTTTTAGTTGAACTGACACTTGATGTCCATCCATATAAGATTATTTTGCTGTGCGACTTTTTCTGTGCTTAAGGGATACAAATTTTGGGGTGGGTTTTTTGGTGGTTTTTTTTTCAGTATTTGCTGAGTTCTTGAAGCTTTGGTTTGAAACACCAGAAGCCTTTTGAGGCTTTGGGGTCCGATGGACTTTGCTGTGGGAGCCGTGTGGACGCGCTTCCGAGCGGTCTTTGGGATGGCACTTTAGGAATGCTTCTGGGCTTTTGGTTTATTAAAAAGAGAACCAAAATATTTATTTAATATTCTGCAACTATTCCTGAAGTATTTGTGTTGGCTCTTTAATGCCTGTGGGGGAGGAAGGAGGTGGCTGTAGGGAAAGGGATTTGGGGTGTGGGATGTCCCTCAGAGACAGCCTGGGCTGGGACCTGGAGCTCCTCTGCACAGAGGCTTGGGCAGGGATCTGCCGAGCACTTCCCACCCGGAGCAGGACACGGGAGCTCTGAACACCCCTGTCTGTGGTCAGCTGGGGGCGTGGGTTTGTTCCTAGAGCCCTGTCCGGAGCCCCTGGAAGGCTGTGCAGGGATAACTGGCTTTAAAAGGATCATATCTGGTGCACGGTCTCGCCCAGAGAGGAGCTGGGCTGATAACAGCCACCTCCTTTGATACCAGGTTATGTGAGGATACAGGGGGATATCTGGGCTCCTTCTCATCTCCTCCGAGGACGCTTTGTTTTTTATCAGGGAAGACGCGCAAAAGAAATTGTTCAGCTCTTTGGCTGTTCCTGAGGTAGGTGAATAACGTGAGATTAAAAAGGATAAAAATCCATTATTTCTTGTTTTGCTGGATGGCTGCTTAAGAGTCTCATTTATGAGTAGGAAATTGCTGATTTTATTGAAGGGGCAGGCTTGTTAAATCTTTAACAAAACCAGATTCTCTCTCTCTCTCTCTCCCCCCTTCATTTGTGTCTCTGATTTGAACAGACATTAAGGCTATGCAGGATTTGAATAAAAATGGTGTAACTGCTCCACTCATTGGGCTTTGCTTTCCCAACGGCCTGTGTGTCACCTTCCAGCTCCCCTCCAGGTGTAAAATATCCAATATAGGAACAAGGAGGAAAAGCCCTCTGAAGAAGAAATAAATTAGCCCTTCTTTATATACCCTAGGGGAACATGAAAGAGCACCAACCCGATCCTGCTTCCCTTTCCAGGCCACCTTTAATGAGCCAATAATCCTGCCAGCGCTCTGCCCACGCCCACGCCTCCTTCCCCATGGGCTCCTCCTTTGAGCTGGAGGCTCAAAGGTTCCCAGGCTCCTCTTGGAGTGCACTAATAAAGGCATTAATAAGTCTCACCCAACTTTTCCCTTCGTTTGATATCTTCCATTCGCTGTGAGGGAGGAAGTTCCTCCCTGTGCCACTGGCCGTGGCTGCTGGGGCTGCCAGAGCTGCCCTGGGACAGCACCAGGCTGGATGCTGGGCTTAAATCAGGCTGGGGGACACCCTCCAGGAGGGGGTGTTTGACACTGAAGTTCCTAAAAGACCCCAGAGGCTTTTTAGAGTTGTGAATTCTGGGTGGAAACTCTTCCATCTTTAAGCAGAGGCAGCAGCTTCTGAAGGCATCCTCAGTGGATTGCCTGAGTCCACTGGGCAGCCCAGAGCCTCCTGGTGGGAGGGAAACACTGTACTGTGGAGGACTGTTTATAAGAACATTTATCCCTCGATTTAATTGAAAGGATGAGGACATATCTGTTGGTGTTTGACTGCAGGCGCAGTGGTCAGGGTGAGGAGGGTGGAGGAGCTCGTTCCTCTGTGCATGAGCACGGCTGTGTTCCCAGGAAATCCAGCAACCTGGAGATCTACCTTTCCCATTTCCAGGCAGACAGGGGCAGATATGCAAAGTAGCCTTTTTAAAGTGGGATTTGTGCTTGAGCATCGTGTGCTTTGGAAACAAATATAAAGATGAGCAATTGTCTGACTCCAGTGAATGAACCCATTTGCTTCTGCCTTTTTATTTTAAATAGATCTTTACAGAATGGAAATGAGATCCACAGAGCAGGGGGGAAAAGGGAAGAAAGGAAAGTGTGGATCAAAGGCTTTGAAATAGTTGTTTGGTTTGCCCTTTAAGTCATAAAAATCCCAAGTCACGTCTAATCCAATTTTTATTGAATTTATTTATTTATTATTGTCTAATAATTTGTCTAATTCAAGAGAATGATTGAAAACACTGAGACATCAAATAATATTGAAAGAACTGTAACATTTCAAAATAATCTACGTTTAAGGGGAAGGAGAAAAGAAATAACCTTGCTTCTGATTAAAGTAAATGGGAACTTGGGGATTAAAAAAAAAAAGAAAAGTAAAAATACTCCAGAAATCCTTTAAGCTTTGCTTAGAGTTGCCATGATCCAAAACAGTTCTGAAGAGAAGCTCCGTGCTTGCTCCTTTTTCTGAAACGAGGCAAAAGGTGTGTAAAACTTTCCCAGTTTGGAAGAAATCCCCATCCCAGCCTAATTGCTGGGGAGGGAGTGCTGTTTCCCTGCTTTGAGCTGATTTCCACTCCCCCAGGAGCAGACCCTCTGGAGGCAGCTGCCATTGCTGCTGCTCTGCTCACACCTTGGAAAACCAGAGCTGCACTGCTGCGGTGGGATCTGGCTGTTGGGATTGGGGTGTTCACAGCTCCTGTTTTTCCTGCCCAGGTCGGGATATGGACAATGACAGCTCCAAAGCCAGTGACAGCCGGGAGGCACCTCTGGAAACCAGCTCTTCGTCGGATGGAATAGTCCTTCCCTTCTCCAGGTAAGGGCATTGGGTCTGTGACACTGGAAATGCTTCCACAGCACGAGAAACACTGACAGGAAATCACCAAAGCTCCCGTCATTTTTTTTTTTTTTTTAATTGTTGGTGGGTTTTTTTCACTTGAACCTGGGTTGAAGTTTGTGTTTCTGTTCACGTAACAACACGGGGAGTCTGAACACCTCAGGAACTGTCTGTGCCAAAGCCAGGTGTGGTCTGGCAGCTGCTGTTCCTCATTTAAGGCTCAGTTGACACCTCGGTGAACCCCAGCTGAGCATGTCCAGCTGCTTTCAGGAGCAGGACGGGGAGGATCAGGAGAGGGGCAGCCAGGGAGCCAAGTGTGCCAGCACTGAGGAGGTGGGGTTCTCCTCTGCGTGTCTGAGGTGTAAACCAGGTGTAACTGGTGCTGCCCGTGGGCTCAGGGGGGTTATATTTGATACTGGCCGTTTAGAACGTGCCTTTCTGGTTTCCAGCAGAGGGTGTTAATTCACCTGAGGGGTGCAGGGTGTGCTGGTTTTATTAAAAAAGGAGAGAAAAGGTGGTTCGTGTGTTTTAACCTTTGGCTCCATGGGCAGTGCTGTTGGATGCTCCCTGTGCTCATCACTGGCGTGCTCGGGAAGCAGCAGAAAATGAGGATAATGCAGCCAGCTCCTGGAATGCTGGCCAGGCTTTTGGTCCTTCCCTGCCCCTTTGGAGCAGCCCAGCACATGGGTGCTGTGGCTCCAGCTGGAAAACCACCGGTGGGGACACTGGGGGAGGGACTGCAGGGCCTTCAGGCAGGTTATGAACTCCTCCCTCCTCCATGTCCATGACATGGAGCTTCCTGGAGGGTTTTTTAGGTTGCTGTGGGTGAGGCCAGTTCCACTTCTGCACTTGGTGTTAGGATGACAGTGTTTCTAGAATTCAAGCCCAGTAAATACAGGCTGTAACCAAGTATCAATGAATGGCGTTCCTGCTTTTGTGTGGGATTAGTTCTTACTGTCTCAGATTCAAGTTTTTTCTCCTCTTTTAGATTTTTTTGGGACTATGAGAATGGTGTTCCTCATGCTATGAAATGCAAGGGTGCTCCTATAGCTGAGTTTTGGAAGTGTTAAATGTTAGCCCTTCCCTGAAGCCTAGAACAGCAGGAGGAGCAGGATCAGGCCCTGAGAACTTGCTTAAAGGATCACTGAATCTGAATAAAATGCGTAATTTAAAATGAAATATTTCTTATTTAAAAAAAAAAAAATCCTCTGCAAGCTTCATCTCCACTGCTGCTGCACTGCTGGCTAATGGTGCCTCCACCACGTCTGACTCGATCAGATGCTGTTTGGGTTTTTTGCTTTTTTTTTTTCTCCTCCAAATTCCTGTTAGTGGTAGATTTCAAATCGTTCCCTCTGCCCTATAATTTCAGGCCTTTCAGTGCTCGGCGGCAGCACACGTCGTGCACCGATAGGTGATGATGCTGCCTTGAAAAAAACCCATAATAAATCTCTTACAGTGGCTTAGAGTTGGCTTTTCTAAATGACTCAAAGCCAGCGCAGCCTTCCCGGCGCAGGGTTTGGGAACAGCCCCTTGCCTTTGGACGCCCAGCCCCGGCTCCCTGGAGCCAGAGGGTGAACGAAGGAGGGAGGAAGAGGGAGAGATGTTTGCAGCCAGGCCGTGCCGCGGTTCCTGGGCTCCCCTGCAGCCACTCCTCGGGCTTTATTGCTTTCACAAGTGGTCTCAAACCCACTACTTGAGAATAAACATCCCTGCGAGCTCGGCCGTGGCACTTTATAAATTCTCCTTTGCCGCGTTTTGTCACTGAGCTGATGAGTGACCCCGGCGCAGACCCCGCCGGACCGGAATAAAAACCGTGGCTCCTCTGATGTCCCCCAGACAATAATTATCATGTGCCAGTTAAGCCCAAACTACAGCTGAGGGATTTTACTTTAAAGCGGAGGCTCGGGCGCAAAAATGCATTTATAGCTCTTTGTCTGGCACCTCATTATGTGTGGGCCTGATTCATTAAGTAATTGGTTTGCAGTTGTTTACATGAGTATTAAGGCTTTCTATTCAGCAGCCTTTGAGATACACATTGTGCAAATGTTGCATGTTATGAATGCGGAATGAGGGGCCGGGGCCCGGCCCTATTGGCTAAACACTGCGCGCTGTTGAAAAGCAAGAGAAAGACATTGGGTGCTGCTTTGCATAGCAATGACTTTCTTAATAAGCTTTACAGATTGATACACACAAGCTATAAAAGATGCAAAGAGATACTCTTAGCACATTTATCCATGCTCGTTTCACTATTATGGGCCTGGAGAAGGGAAGAATTGAGGGCTTTCATACTCGGGTTTTCAGTGCGTGTCTTCAGTGCATGAGACTTAATAGAATCCGATGTTTATTGTATTATAAATCATGGGGAAGTAGGCAGATCTGCAACAGTTTATTATTAAAGATTCTTTCAATGTAAATCTTTTTCTGCCATTGTATTTCCTACAGCAAAATCATTTTGTGGTTGAGTGGGGATGAAAGGCATAATGTACGACGGAGTGAGTCTTAATAGGAAACTGCTCTCCGAGTAAAGACCACTTGTTCCCTTTTGTTCGGCGGTGCATGCCAGAGCTTCCTCTCCTCCCGCAAACGCCGCCGGCTCTACCTCCGCCGCGGGCGCTGCTCGTCCCTGGCCCCCTCCGCCTCACCGGGGGATGTTCCCCGCACAGACGCACCTTTGGTGGGCAGCGCGGGCGCGTTTCACGGGGCAGAGGCGTCACAGCCCGCGCTCCCGGGGGGAGAAGGCATCAGAAGTCAGGGCCGAGCCGGGGCCGAGCGCGGGCGGGCGGCCAGCGATGTGTGTGGCATTCCGGGGGCTGTAGCGATGGATGCGGCCAGTGGAGGTCACTCGTTTTCTGGGAATTCCCCGTTCCGGACGCGAGCGGTTTTTTATTTTCCTTCGGCTCGTTTGGGCTGTCTCGTTTCAAAATAATCTGGAGATTAAAGATGCGTTATCAGCCGAGAACCAAAGCGGGGTTTGGATTTGTCGGGACACCAACGCGGTGTAAAGTGTTGTAAACTTTGATTAATCTGCTCAAGGACTCCGGGGGGGTCTCTGAAGGCTGGTTTTTAGCTCCTTTTTAGCCGAAAGGAGCCGTTTTACCCAACACAGATGTAGTGACATGCAAATAGAAGCTGGCAGAGTCTAATTCATCTCTTAATTACTCTCTGGGCGATGTCTAACGTGGCCCCGTTGGCTTTGGCCATCGGGGGGCACTCGGGCTCTGTGCATCCCCCGCCTCCCCCCTGCCCAAACCAATCCTGGCTCGGAAATCTCTGCTCGTCTCCGAGGAGAGTTCCCAGAGGTTTGGGGCTGGGAGTGCTCAGGAGACGCACAAGTGCATTTCTCCTGGAAATACAGAGAAAGTGGCACTGTGTGGGTCTGGATTCCTGAGAGGTGCACCCCGAATCCAGCCAGGATCTGATTGTTTCATCCCCCCGAGGTACTCTGTTGTCAAATGGCTTCCGTAAGAAGCTGACTGAGAATTCCAGCCCGATTTTCCACTGTCACAGCTGTTTCTGTGAGCTTTGTTTCCTCCCCCTGAGCACCCAGCTGTTGCAGAGGCAGCGATGTTGTGGTGGCGATGCCCTGCCAGGTTTGTGGGGAGAGGCACCAACATCTGCCTGCTGAGGACAGAAGGAATAGTGAATTTTTTGGCAGTGCCCCTGCTCTCCTGCACAGCTCCCTCGCAGCGCTGTGATGTGTCTTTGTGTTAGTGGGGTTTTCTGTTTCAGCCTGGTGGATCTAAACAGAGAATGGTCTCAGATGCAGCTCGATAGAAATCTCTGTGTCCTAAAATAAAGGTCATGCTGCTTACAGTGTAATTACTGAAATTCAATGTTATTACTCCAATTCCGGTGTGATGAATGGACTTTTGAGTCTACACTGACTCTGTGAATGTGTGTAGTATATGGACTGTATATATTTGGCTTTCCAGGGCGGGGAAATCTCTTGGCATTTGGGATTTCCCAAGTTGTTTTGTTGTCTTTTTCACTTGACACTAAAAAATAGAGGTTCAACAGGTGCTCTAGCAAAAAGGTAATCAGGTCAAAGTAAAAATTTTCTGCTGTTTTCCAGCAAGCCCCCTCAATTAACGTGGCTCTTGTTGTCCTGGTATTTTCCTCTTAATATTAATTTTCCGTATGGAGGAAAAAAATATTTTCTTGGAGCTTTTTAATTTCTTACTGTTGCAGCATCTTCAATACAAAAAAAAAAAAGCCTGTTTCATCAGAGAAATGGAGAGATTAAAAGGCCCTTTGAAGTGAAACTGGTTTGGGTTTTTTCTTTGTTAGGGCCTGGGCTGAGTTTGGAATTATTTTAGGGGAGAAGCAAGTGCGTAGATGGCTCTGGGAGGGTCAGGCCGGGGGATTAGTCGGGGCGGTGGAAGGGGCCTTGCTGCCTTTGCACCCCGGACGTTCCCGGCGGGGTCTGCAGTCATTGTGTGCTCCCTGCTCACTGCAGCTGCATCTCACAGCTTCACCCGGCACTCCAGCCCTAATTCCAGGATTTACTCCCTGTTCCCCAGCCCCTGGCAGCGTTTTCCAGCCTTGGTTTGGGGGAGCTGCCATTTCCCGTCTGGCCTCTCCGACGTCCTCGCTCCGTTTGCCGTATCCCCGCGGCATTTCCCTGCGCCGGCGGCTCCTTGCTGGCTCCCTGCTCCCTGTCTCCCTCTCTGGGGATGGCTGTGTCGTGCCAGCACCCGGCTCTGGGCTGTCTGGGGACACCTGTCTCCCCCCCTCCCCTGTCTTTCTCTTTGGGGGAAGCTGGCTTGGCAGCGGGAAGGTCTCCAGACCTTCCTACAGCCATGGTGGTCCTTCTCCATGAGACCACCAGCCTTTGGCCGTGCCTGGAGGACCAAATTCTGCAGCCTTGGGTGGTCCTGCACTGGTGGTCCCTTGGTGGTCCTTGGCAGGGTGTCGGTGTTGGGCCCAAATCACTGACCCACCGGTGTTTGTTCTAGGATTGAAGCATGGAGAGAAGTGGGACAAAAAGTCCCTCCTGGGGACCTCCTGGCATGGCTGAATAACAGAACCCCCTGCTCCCTTCCCAGCAGCGTGGCCGGAGGGGAAGCAGTGGCTGCTGCTGCTACCTGAGCTCCTGCTCAGCCACTGGGAGCTGAAATGGTTCCCGTGCCGGCTGCCCCAGGAGGCACCTCACCAGCTGGAGCTCTGCAACAAGTGGCTTTTTGCTCCACACCCAGGGGAGAACAGCACAGCCCCTTCAGCACATGGAGCACCTCCTGGGGAATGCTGAGGGTCGGGAGATCTCACCCAAGGGAGCAAGAGTTTGGGGTGTTCAGTGTATTCCAGAGGCTCTGGCTTCAAATGCTCGCTGGGAATTCTGTTGAGGGAACATCTCTGAAGGAGAAGTTGGGCTGTGAGGCAGTGTGGGGTTTGGCTTGGAATGAAAGGGAAAGGCACTGGGATGGTGTGCTCAGGGAATGTTGGAGAAACATTTGGAGCCCGACATTTTATAGTTTCTTACTGAATACATTAATAATTAGTGGTATCACTGTGAGTACTTCACTGGTGCTGCCACTTGGTTGCCATCTTAGTGGAACCTGGGCTGGGTTTAATGTTCTGGGAATTTCTGTCCACAAAGAGGGAGCCTGTGTGCCAATGGCATTCATAGCCTGAGGAGAAGGAATGGGATTGGAACAGCGTGAGCTTTCTCTGGGTTAAAAGGAAGAGTGGCTGCACCCTGGTAGCTGCAATGTATGAAACTCCCTGCTTTCTGTGTGGCTTTCCAGCTGCAATCCCAAATTCTGACTACCAGGGAGTAACACAAGCAAGGAATCATCCCTGCTTTTTTTTCGTCTCCTTCACAGATGCCTCCACAATGTTGAAATGTTTTTAACTCCCCTCTTTAAGGACTTCTGTATCGGCTGCCAGGTTTTTCCATGAAACACAGCAAATGGCAGGACATTTCAGAGAGCTGACTGAGTCCTGTTGTGGCCGTGGCCACAGCTTCCAGCTGCACCTTGACATTGGCTTGCATTTCACTGCTTGGCCCAGTGATGGCCCAAATATCTTCTATTTGATCTTCCTTATTAAAATCAGCTGAAGGTTTATTTTTAGGGCTTCTTGCAGGGCCGTTGCTGTAACAGTTAATTCTCCCCCATCGTTGCCCCCCGTGTGATTATTCCACAGCCCCAACACAATGCACGCGCTGCACACAAAAGATCAAAATGATTCCAGCTTGTTTGAGAGATTCAAAAGGGCCTGTGATGCTCCAGACACAAGAGCAGCCATTTACCAGAGCAGGCTCGGGCTGCACACACATCAAGGTAGATCAAAGGCAGCGGAGATTGCACATTTCCATGGGGCCGGGGGACAGCCGGGAATCGGGAATCGCGGGTCCGCAGGAGCGTCCGGGGAGGAAGGGAAGGAAGGAAGTGCAGGAGCAGCACTGGGGTGCTTTCATTTTTGTTTGGATTTTGTCTTTACATACTTTGTGTGCTCTGGAAGGCTGCAAAAGCTCGACAGGGCCCTGCTCCTTTGTACCTGGATTCAGTGCCGGTGTAGATCAGTGCTGTTACCTGGGAATGACTCCAGGAACAACTGCACCAGTGTTCCTGCTGCATGTGGATTTCTCCACCTTTTAGGTGAAGAAACCCTTGATAAAATAGTTATTTTAAAAAAAAAAGGAGTTACAAAACTTACTGATATTTTTTTAAAACCATCTCACAGTATTTTTTAAAAAGTCACTTTTAATCTGTGACATTGTGCTGATTATTTGAAATCTTTTACAGGACCGAGACACGGAAGGAGAAAGTAACTGCCATAAAATCCAAAGGTAAGAGACAAGCGTTACACTACTGAAAATCAGTGTCTTGTGTAATTTATACTGTAAAAACCCTCCCACAACTATGTTATGACCTGTATAAAATATGGAGACAGGAAAGAGTGGAATTGCCCTGTCTCAACATAGGAGCCAGCAGGAAGCTGAAGAGAACAAATTCTAGGACAGAGAGGAGGTGTTTGTGGTGCAGGTGGTGTGGAAGGAGTCAAGATCTTTGCAGGGTTTAGTCAAATGACTGTGAACTGCAAGTGGAGGAAACCCAGAGAAGGAGAAACCTGAGGTTTCCTTGGTTTTCCCACAGCAGGGCCACAGCAGGACATGGGTGCAGCTGGATGGTTTTGTCCATTGCCCAGCTGGTTTTGTTCTGAATTGGTGTGTGGACCCTGCATGTTTTCACTCTCCAGCATTCCAATTCTCCCTTTTACCCACCCCAAGGCCCTCAGGGGCCTGCAGACACCTCTAGCTGAGCCTCCTGCCAGCGAGGCAGCGCTGGGAGCCCTTTGCCTGGAGCCTTGCTCCAGGTGCTTGGCAGTCTGGAATGGCGCAGTCCCAGAGGCGTGGCACTGCACCGAGGTACGGATGCCATCAGCAGTGGCTGCTTTGGTGCCACTTGAAAGGCTCTCACATCCCCAGCCCCGTTCCTGGAGCCATTCCACACGGGAGTGAGTGCGGGGCTCACTCTGATGTTCCCGGCGGAGCACAGCCCTGCAGCCCAGGGGGCCGGGATGGAGGATGAAAGATGCAGCTGCTGCATTTGTAGATAAGGTGTTCGTGGAGCTGGTGCCGTCAGAGGCCTTAGCAGGGCCTCAGACACGAGCTGCAGTGTGTGTGTGAGCGTGACAGCCTTCCGCCCTCCGCCGCCTCCATCCCCGGGCCTCATTCCAGGCATCGCAGCTCCCACACTGCCTTTGGAGAGCCAGCAGCCTCTGGAATGGTTGGGAACAGAGAGCACAGCTCTGTCAGCCACTGCAGCCTTGACTTCAGGTGCCACACTTCCCACTGTGTTTTATCCCCGGGTCAAATGAATTTACATATTGAGAAATCTCTCAGGCGCTCTGAATTGCAGGGGGGTTCTGTTGATGTCAGGGAAAGGGTTTGCCAGTTCCCAGAGCTGTCAGTTAAAGCCATGTCTTCTGTGGAGACCAGGCCTGCCCGGGTCTGATCTGATCTCCAAGTGGTGGTTTTTCGCTTGTGACGTCACTGCCATGTTTGTGCCAACTCTGTGATGTCATGGCCCGCTGGTGACTTCACCGCGGGGTCAAGTAGCAGCGGGAGAAAGGGGAAGAGAATAGACAAAGCTGCAATTCAGGCAGCAGCTGGTCAAGTAAATTGGTTGGAGTGGAAATGTTCTGCCCAGCTACCTTGAGGCACAATGGAGTGGGAGTGCTGAATGAAGCCGCTGTCTGGGCACAGCCGCTCTGCCCCGGGCACCGTGCGGGGCCGGACGCACAACCTGGGCTGGGGGCTTCAGACTGCTCCTCCTCCGTCAGCCACGGGGCCTGGGGAGAGCTGCCCAGCGGTCGTGCCTGTGACAGAGGGCACCCCCGTGGAAAGGGTTTTACTGCTGTGGTTTCTGTGTCCTCCCCCGCAGCGTTCTGGGGCGAATCCGACGACAGCAGCTCCGAGCTCGAGGCCGCCCTGCGCCCGCAGACCCACAGCGCCCAGTCAGACGACTTCGATGACTTCTATGCTTGAGGTTCCCTGCTGGCTTCTGGGGAGAAGCAGAAGCGTTGTTTCAGAGCCCACTCACCCTCACAGTGAGTGTGCTGTGGGCTGAAGCACTGCTCGTCACTTTACGGGCAAAGGAAATGTAAATACCAAATAAACATCACGGGTCCTACACGCTGTACGTGTGCTCTCTCTGACCTGCTCTGACAGTAACCCTGCCCCCTGAGAACCCCCTCCTGAGGCTTGTCTGCATTCCACTGTTTGGACTCCAGAGCTAGACGTGGTTTGGAAAGCAGCAGACGAGCATTGTGGGTACGCAGACAGGCACTGCTGGGGCGGGCTGGCTTGTTTGATCTTTATCTTCTTCTGCAACAGATCAAGAAGAAGAAATGCATAAAATGTCCATTTGTAATTCAGCACATTTTGGAAGAGAGCAGCATTTACATGTGTAGAGCCCCAGTGCTTTCCTGCTTTTCCCTGCTTTGTGAAATCTGTGCTGGTGCTGCTGTGTGGACATCACAGTAATTGGATGACTCTAGGAGCTTCATGCATTTTTAATTTCCTTCTTTTCATTCCTTTTATCTAAAATTAAGTTCATTAAACATGAGATTTTCTTTCGAAGGGAGACATATTAAAAAAAAAGCTGTTCATCATGATGACAAGTTCAAAAGCAGAAACCAGCACCCCAATTAAACTGTGCTGCGCCGCAGCCCCACGTCTGCCACAGCCACCAATCTCCACACCCTGTCCCTCAAAAACAACTTAAAAATGGTAACAACATTGAATTGGATAAAAACACTTGGGCTGAGAGCTCAACAGTTTGAAATAATGGCTCACAGAAGGCTTGGAAATGAGCAGAAACCCTTGGTGCAGCTGGCTGCTGTGGGTTACAGTCCAGCATTGGTGAGGGTGCAGCCTGGAATGTTCTGGGATTTGGGAAATCAGCTGCACCAAGGATGGAGCCGGGTGAGTCCGGATGAGGTTTTTCCTTGTGCACTGCAGCGTCGCCTGGGAGAGCTGAATCACGTCTGAACCCAGCACGCGAGGGCCGGGGTGTCATCACCCCTCACTGCCTTTTCCTTATCATCCCTAATTCCTGGTAACTCACTCTGGATAGTCCTACCCATCTGCAGATGTAAGCTCCCCAGTATCCCAGCACAGACAGGCTGTGGTACGGGATGGCTCAGGCACTGTCAGCCCAAGGTTCAGCTGGAAAAGTCTCTCCAGCAGCCCGTGCTGCCATGTGACGTTGCCTCGGATCCGTGGTGTCTGTGCAGCTTTAAGCTCTTCCTGAGCGATTCCCGGCTGCTGATGTCAGCCCACTGTACATCTGCTGGCATGACACCAGCCTGTGGGGTTTCCATCCCTCAGTCCGGCTCAGCCCCCGACGTGTGGCCCGTGACAGGTGACGGATGGCTGCGGGAGCCGAGCGCGGGCAATCTCTGCCTCTCGGTGTCGGAGCGATAGCCGAGTTCCTCCGCAGCAGCAGCATTTGTGATGCTCTTATTGTGCACAGGCTCGTTACATGCAAAACATCCTGCCAGTCAACTCTGCTCCGCTCCTTCACGGCTGTCACGCCGCAGCCGGGGATGATGGCAGGTGACGGTGACGGACAGGGGGACTGGAATCAATACAGCCCGGGCAGATTTCCATCGGCACGCCACTCATCCCTGGAAAACACCCTAATGGGAAGCCTTCCCTGCTCCTGTTCGCGGTGACACGGCGCTCCGTGCGCTTCTCAGGGACACGCAGTTCGGAGGTGGGACCCGGGCTCGTGCCCCGGCGTGGCTGCTGGTGCTTAGACCAACTTTTCAAGGAATTGTTTGTTGCAGCATTAATTATTCCAGCACTTGTTTACCCAAGTAATTATAAGATAAGACGATCGCGTTTCATTTGCGTCCCGCCAGCCTTCTGTTTTTCTTTGGCATTATCAGAAAAACAACTGATTGCCCATCAATACAAACGAAGTGTTAATGCTAAGCTGCCCGCACGAAATTCCAGGAGGAGAAACACTACAATAGGAAGCTTCAATCAGGGAACTGTTTTGTAAGGAACAGATAAAGGACAATCTTTAGCTGATACCACAGGTGTGGTGCCACTACAAAGTTGCCGGGGAAATTTATTCAAGTCACAGATTTTATTGAGAGGAACGACAACAGAAAACGGCTTAACAACAGCCAAGTGAGGATAAGAATAATGAGAGACACAATATTGGGTTAATTTGTTCTACAGAGAATTAGCCCAGTACCAAGGTTCCCCTCCGCTCCCCAAATTGGCGGCATTGACTCAACAAGCACTGCTGAGATTTTGTTATTTTTGTTAATGATTCCCGGGCTGCTTTTCCCTGTCCTCGCCCCTGTCCCTGCCCTCCTGACGGAGCTGCCGTGCGGCAGCGGGACACGGCGGAGCGCAGAATCCTGCCTCGTGTTAATCCCGTTTAATTCCCGAATGTTTAATTCCATTCCGGCGCCGTCAAACAGCCACAAATTAATAGTATTTGCTTATGCCACGGGCAGAGCGAGGGGATGAGGGCTCTTTGCCTCGTGCCGCCGTCGTGGATCACATGGAGCCATTTCACACCGGCTGCGTCTGGAAACGTCCCCTTCAGAGGGGACAGAGCGGCCGTGCCCTGAATCGCTTTTGGTCTTGCAAAATGTGGAATATGTCAAGATTATTTTAGGATGTTCTTTGTTGTTTGATCTTTGTATACTTTCAGGCCTGATCAGCAAGAAAGGAGACCTGGTCAGTGGGACAGGCAGCAGCTGCATCCCTCAGCCAAGGGCATCCAGGAACTGACAAGTTTTAGGGACACAGTAAATCAAGATGTTAATGTCTGTCTATGTATGCATTATTGACTTGGTGAAATACTCAAGGTCTGTGTATCCTACAGCTGAACTGTGTTCACTGTAATACTAAAAATGATGCCTGCAGGTCGAAGAAGACCCTGCACAGGTGAAAAGGACGCAGGGAAGTTGATGTAACTTGCGTAACTTGCATGAAAATTACTGATCAATCCTAGTAGAGGGGCTGTGATTGGGAAGTTACTGACTCCGGCTTTCCGTGTATAAATAACGGCACATTTGTGGAATGCACCGAGCACTCAGGGTTGGGCAGCGCTGAAATAAATCACCGATGTCTCTGCCATGTATCGTTACTGGCTCGTTGGGCAACCCTGCCGTGTGCCACCGCCCGAACCACCCCACGGCGGCAGCCCGCGCTTGGCTTTTATTAGCAAGGAGCTAACGGAGGCTGTTTTTCCTGATAAACTGCCTGTTTAGGGCTGTGGGGCAGCAGCTCCCCGCCGGCTCCCTCCCGCCGCCATGGCGGTGCCCTCAGCCCGCACCCAAGATGGCGGCGGCGCGGCCGCGGCCCCGCCCCCTTCCCGCCGTGCCCCGCGCGCCCCCGCCCCTTCCCGCCGTGCCCCGCGCGCCCTCGACCCCGGAAGTGCCGGCGGAGCCGCCGCTCCCGATCCCAGCCCAGCTCCCGGTCACGATCCCAGCCCCGCTCCCGGCCCCGCCATGGGGGTCCCGGCCTTCTTCCGCTGGCTCAGCCGCAAGTACCCCTCCATCATCGTCAACTGCGTCGAGGAGAAGGTGAGCCGCCCTTCGCACCACCGCCCGCCGCGCCGCGGGCCCCTGGCGCTCCGCGGGGTCGGCTGGGCCGCAGCGCTGAGCTCCCCCCCCCCACCCTTCCCCCGGGGCCGCTTGTTTATGTTCGCTCGGTTTTATTTGTTTGTTTGGGGAGGGGTTCGGCGGTTCCGGTTCGGTTCGGGGAGGCTGTGGCGGGGGGTGGTTTGGGGTGGGTTTTTTTTTGGGGGGGCTTTCGGTGCCGGTGGAAGCGGCCCCGGCGCAGGGGGAGGCACCGTCAGGTTCACTCCACGTGCGCCGCTGGAGCACCGCGCACATGGAGCGGCGGGAGCGGGCACCGGGGGACAGCGGGGATGGACGGGCACCTGGAGCAGGGAACCGGCTTTCTCCCACGATTTCCCGGTCTCCAGCCCGTTCCCCGGGATCCCAGCCCTTCCCGGCGCGGTGGGCTCTGCCTCTGTGCAGCCCCGGGCAGGAAAAGCGGGATCTATGGCAGCGTTTTTGGGTTGAGCAGGGAACAGTGGCGGTGCTTTTCTTGTGTGTTGTTCCTAGTTCCTGCTTTCCACAGCTTTTTTTTTTTTTTCTGGGGAATTAGGAGCTGCAGCGAGCTCCGGGACTTGCTGGAAACGCAAGTGCAGCTGCCTGTCTTGGGAAGAGGGAGGAAATGCAAGGGAAATGGTTAAAAACAGTTTGAGGGTCTGGGAGCGTCTCAGTTTCCCCGAGACCTCCCTGTTGGCAGCAACATAAGTGCCAGGGTCCTGCTGGGGGTGTGGGATCGGGAGAGGGGATGCCAGAACACGGGGGAGGGCAGGAATGGGACACTGGAGGAGAAACTGGGCTGTCCCTTGGAGCTGCAGGGGGTTCGTGGGAGATCAGAGATCCCCACTGTGCACATGGCAGTCTGCCTCCTGGGGCTCTCAGCCTCCCGAATAACTCGCAGCTGGGTCATTTCCAGGTCTTACTCATTATTTTATCAGTCTTTTATTTCACATCTTAATTGTTCTGCAGCTTCCTGCTTTACCCTGGTGCTTTATTTTTGGAATACCCCCACGAACCCAGGGCATCACGCTGCATCCAGGACTCAGAACAAGTCTGGGCTTGTGCTCTGTAACTTCGAGCAGCCTCAGGAGTTTTTGTCTCACTGCTGGTGTTTTCTCTGTGCCGGAGAAACCCCTCCTGCCCGAACACAGAGCTGATTTTTCCAAAGGCACGCTGTAAAATCTGGCTTTCCGTGGCAGCAGGAGGTGGTTTTGGCGAAGGCTCAGCCCCAGCCTTGCTGCTGGGTCCTGCAGGTGCCCTTCAGGGCAGTAAGGCAGCTGGAATTATGTCTGTTTGCATGTTTTTATTAGGCTGGTTGCTTAGGGCACATCCCTGCAGCCACGGGAACGTTGTGCTGTGCCAAGGGAGGCGGTGGGAGGGGACAGGGAGGATGGAGGGGTCTCCCTTCCTCTGCAGCCTTTGAGTAGCTGCCCCGTGGTGGCTTTTCAGTGCCCTGTTACCCCAGAGCTAACTCAGTGTTTCTGAGCAGACAAACGCTGGAGTTCTCGCTTTCCAAACTGCTTTTCCCGTACGCTTTTCCAGATACTTTGTATTCTCTGTGGCCGTGTTGTGCTGGCTGAGTTCTGCCCTTCCAAACACTGCCTTGGGAAGTTCAGGTCTCTGCTGCTGAGCCTGTGCCTCCTCTGCCTCCTCCTTCCTCGGGAGAGCTGTGCCTCACCCTGGGGAAGCGCCTGGGAAGGGGATGGTGTGGGAGCAAGGTGGAGGAGAGAAGGGAAGAGAGGAATTCTGTGTTGAGGATGCACGTGTGCCCTGCCTGCAGCAGGTTTCCAGGTCGCTTTTAGTGTTCAGTTCCGTGCTTTTCAGGGTGTTTTTGCTTTTCAGATTCAAGCAGTGAAGCAGAGTCAGAGATTTGGTTAAAGCTGTGAGTGACTCTGCTGGTTTTATTGCAGTTGTTGTTTCAGCCTCTCTGGGTGTGAGGTGTGAAGTTTATTTTACCTGTGAATTTTTAACAGGTGGATAATTAAGATCTAAGTGTTTTCCTGGGGAACTATTCTAGAAAAAAAGGTGGGATTGGGGCTTAAAAGTTTCCCTCAATTCTGAGCTGCTGTGAGTTCTGGCTCTGATCTGAGCTGCCATGGCAGCACTGGTGGTTCTGCTGCTGTACCAAACTCCTGGGGGTTGTTATCCCTGAGGGGGTCTGTCCTGAGGGTTGGGGATCCCTCAGTTTAGGGGCTGTCATGGACACGTGCCATGTTCGTGCCTGCTGGAGATCCTGCTGTTTCTGGATAACTCTTTGAGATGTGTCATTTAAAAGCAGCCCCAATTTAAACAGCAAATACACCTGTAACAGTTGGGTGGGCAGGCGATTCACCTTTCTCATCACACTGGTAAACATTTGGATGAATCTCTGTGTAATCAAAGCTGCTCTCCTATTTAGGTAAAACAAAGGTTTGTGCAGATCTGGTTTTACTGATTAGGTCCTTTTTGCTGATCTTTAATATCTGAGCTCGTAACAGCCCAAGTTCTTTCTGTTAAGATGAACGGAAAGGCACAACAGCTCCTGTGGGGCTGAGTTCGAGTTGCAGTAACTGCAGTGGCAGCTGCTGGTCCCTCCCTCTCGGTGCCTTGTTCCTACTCAAGAGCACGTTGCAATTACAGCCAGGATAAATCGTGTTCATTAAGGTTTTTTATATTCAAATCTGGCCATAAATCTGAGAGCAGAGCAGGACAGCAGGGAGAAGCTGTAGTTTGTCTTACTGTAGATGAATTTAAGCTTCTCTCACGATGTAATCAGCTCCGTGTGTGTTTTAGGATTGCCATAAATCTCTCTAATCAGAAATTTTGTATCTGCCGGTAGCTTGTCTCTTTGAAATATTAAAAAGTTGATCCTTGTTCTCTTACCTTGCCAGATTAATCAGATTTAAGAAAAAGAAATAATCTTCTTCTTAAGCTGAGCAGGAAGAATGAGAGGGAGATCTTGAAGATAATAAAAAAATCCAGGAGAGAATATTCTTAATCAAATTGATACGAATTAATAAAGCTGCAACTAAAGTATCATGTTTGAAGATCTGTTTTCAATGGTTTCAAAAGAGGCTGTAGATTAGAAGTGAACAGTTTAGTTATATCACAAGAGATATCGCTGCCAGATACTTAAACCTTCTACAAGGCTGTTACATGAAAAGCCTGTTGGGTTTGTGGGGCTGTGCAGATGGAAAGTGGCTGCTGAAGGCTCTGAACGAGATCACACTTACTGTGCTTTGCCTTGGAGGCTGGAAGTCAGGTCTTGGCAGGGTGAGTTTGTTTTCCATATCACGTGGTCGTAAGCCTTTGATGTCCCCTGAGTCCCGTTCAGCTCGAGCAAGAGGGGGGGGGAGCGGTCAAGTAGAACCCAAGTGTTAAAAAGGTGTGAATTAGCAGAAATTTCTCCTCTTTAAAATAGGGGGGGTTAGTGTTCAGTTATTTAAAAATGACTTCACAGCTTGCCCTGAAAGAATTCCACACACCTGTGGCTGTGAGAAATGCAAATACCAAATGAAGACTTATGTTGCTTTAGAGGATTTCATTTTGGCCTTTTAAGACAAGGATAAATTCAGTCAGTTCACGCCTCAGAACATGCCATTCCTGTTTTAACTTTGCTTTATGCCAGGCTGTTCAAGAGCAAGTATCATTCCACCTTTGTGGGATGTTCCAGCCACAATTTCTCTGGAAATCATGGGGCTTTTCCTTGCTCAGGTCGTGTCTCTTCCGTGCTATTGGGGTTTAATCCGGTGCCTTATGTGTGTGGCTGGAGGTGTTGCCTTGAAAGGGAGAGGGAGTGAGAAGGGAGAGGGACAGGAGAATCAGTGCTAATTGCCTTTTGACCAAACTAACAAAAAAAAAAAAAAACCCAAACCACAAACCCAACAACAACAAAACCCCAAACAAAACAAACAAACCCCAAATTATGGTGAGGAAGCAAAATCCACCGTGGTCGCTGATCCACCTTGTTGAAGACTCCAGTGCTGGGGTAGCCCAGGAACACAGGTGGCTCAGGGGGTTTAGGGTGATGAGAAGTTCACGTGGCATTTCCCATCTGCACTGCGACCCGAGCTCCACGTTCTTGGGGCAGTAGAAAGAGAACCCAGGAAGAGGTGAAGCCTTAGAGGGACGAAGACAATGTCTGGATTTCTGGATTTTATTTAGCACTGCAGATCTATCCACAGGCAGGCTTGGAGGCAGGAGTTGAAGACTTCAGAGCTTTGAGCATCTCAGAGCTTCTGATGGTCGTGAGGAAAGGAAAGATGTAAAGACCCAATGCGGAGGCTTGGCTGGGGGATCCGAAAGGATCTCTCCTTCCTTCTTGTGGAGCAATCAGTGTGCTCCTGGCAGTAAAAGGAGTTGCTGTGGAAACTTCTGTTTTCAGCAGAAATTAACAACTCTGCCATAACTTATTGTAACATTTTCTGGTTGTGCTGGTTCACAAACAGCTTTTTAAAAGAAGGGCTATTTAACAGTGAAAGGTGCAGCTCCAAGTGATCGTGTGGGCGCTTGCTGCTATCTTTTTCTTCTACTGCCACTGGGGGGAAAAAAATAAAAATACTTTTTTGAGTCTGTGCATTCACAACTGCTGGTTACTGGTACTGAAACCTTTGTCCTGACTGCACCCCCAGGCTAAGGAGTGCAATGGAGTCAAGGTTCCCATCGACACCAGCAAGCCCAACCCCAACGAGGTGGAGTTCGATAACCTCTACCTGGACATGAATGGCATCATCCACCCTTGCACGCATCCAGAAGACAAGTAAGGCACTTCTGTCTCTTTACAGTTAGCTTGTCTCTTCAGTGACAGCATTCCAGTCATTGAACTGCATACCCTGTGTTTCAGGCCAGCACCCAAAAACGAAGATGAAATGATGGTGGCGATTTTCGAGTACATCGACAGGATCTTCAACATCGTGAGGCCGAGGAGGCTCCTCTACATGGCCATAGATGGAGTGGTGAGTACTGACACATCTCCTTTCCAGCTGTAAGATCAGGGTAGGTGCCATCAGGTCTCGTGAGATCCTTTGGGAAATGGTGTTCTGAAATGAAAAGCTGTAGGTAAAATAGACTGTTAATTGAATTTTGGTGAGGGTAATCATGAGCTGGCTGATGGAGTCTGCTGCAGCCTGAGCTTTGCTGGAAACTTGTAAAAGACAGTAACACTCTGAGACTACTTCTGCTCCTCCATTCTGTGGCTTTAGGAATAATTTACACCACAAGCTGGAAAGGACCAGAGCAGCTGGTTTGAGCAGCTGCACTTCAGATGGGCAGTGATGGAGTTGTGGTGTGGAATATTTCACAGCCTTCAGGGACCTTTGAGGCTGGAAGCTTGTCTTTCTCCCCACCTGATCCTCATCTCCCCTCGGTACCTAGAGTCATGGAATGGTTTGGTTGGAAAGGACCTTCAAGCCCTTCTCATTCCTTTTTTTAGGCCCCACGTGCCAAGATGAACCAGCAGCGGTCGAGGAGATTCAGAGCGTCGAAGGAGGGCATGGAGGCTGCTGAAGAGAAGCAGAAAATAAGACAAGAAATTCTGGCCAAAGGTGAACCAGTGACTGTTTTGGAGGTTTTCTGATGAGAATCACCTTGTTTTGAAAGATTCAGTAAGGTTTAGAGAAGGGATGTCTCTGCATTGCTGGGAGGAGGAGGGGATAACAAGCCTACAGAAGGCTGGATCAGTGTTCTCCAAAGTTAAGAACTAAGATAAAACAAAATGTCACTTTTTTTTCTTCTTCTGTCTCCTGCCTGAAATGAATTTGTGTTGAGTGCTCTTAATTCCTTTTGAAAATAAATTGAACAGAAGAGCAGGGATAAATGTAGTGAGGAAGCAACCAAAACCCTTATGGAAGGAAGTACACATTTGTAGGGCTCAATGCAAGGAGTGTTGAGGCTTAAAAGCAGGGATCAGATGGAAATACTCCTACACAGGGATAATGAGCTGCGAGCAAGGGTAGTTACTTGACAGTGGAAGCTCTAAATTCAGTGAGGAAACAAAAGTCAGAGCAACTTTCTGAGGGTGATGGTGACATGGCTGGAGTGAAAGGGGAATGTGTAGCAGTGTTTGCTGAAGTCACGTTTGTAGATGTACTGACACCTCAAACTTGGAGATGATATAATGGTAAGAGCTGGTTTAATTTTGGATGTGGGTGTTGGGGTTTTTTTGTTTGTTTTTTTTTTTTAAGAAACTGATTTCAGTGAGTTAATTGTTACCTGGGGAGCCATGTGGGGTTTCATCATGCAGAAATGTTTTAAATGGTCCATGCTGATCTGACTCTGCTCCCTGTTTCTGCTGCTCCAGGTGGCTTTCTCCCTCCAGAAGAAGTGAAGGAGAGATTTGACAGCAACTGCATTACCCCGGTGAGTGACCTGGCACTTCACCCAGCAATTGCCAGCGTCTGAGTGAAGGTTTCATTTATTTCCTTCCCACCCCTTCCAGGGGACGGAGTTCATGGACAATCTGGCGAAATGCCTGCGCTATTACATCGCCGACCGCCTCAACAGCGACCCGGGCTGGAAGAACCTCACCGTGAGTTCCCAGCTTCCTACTTGAGAGAAATGAAGGAGGTGTTTGGGCTGGGCTGGGATCTGATTGAAGAGCAGAAATTTAACAGATTTATCTCTTGGCCTGGCTCTGTGCTTTTATTAATAATGGGCCGACTAGCACGTCCTGCTGTGGCTTCAGAGACCATTTCGTCCTGATAACTCCATCCCCCAGCACCATTTGCTTTGATTTCACTGAAGAGCAAAGAGGAGGTTTGCCAGTAGAAGCCACAATTTGACATAATGGGAGACAGGGCTTTAGGAATACTTTTGCTTCTTTTGGGGGAAGCGTCAAGATACATTGTAGATGTATTTTTTGCACTGTTTCTTTTTTCTAAGTACTCCCTCAGTGGGCTGCATTTTCTCCGTCACTCTAATGATGGATGGCAGGCAATGAAAATAATACATGTCAGCTTGCTTGCCTTTCTGGACTTGGAAATTCTCTCTTCCTCTCCTCAAGCACTCCACTCCCACCGAGTTCTGTTTCTGACAGTCCTGTGTTTGCTCTGTACGAGGGGGCAGAGGATTCAGTTAATGCAGCTGCCTGTGCTATTTGCCATGAGTTGACTGTTCAAGTGGCCTAATTAGAGGGCAGTTGGCTCTGCTTGATTCCCTCCATCAGACCTGGGGTTTTATAAATGCTAATGCTTTATTAAGCTAGTGCTTAATAAATGCTTGTGCTAAGAATTGACGCCAGGGTGAGGAGGGGTCTGCTGTGATCATGTTTCAGGGCACCGATGAGTTGGGAAGGTCCAAAGGGAAGCAGACACGTGTGTGCTTAATCCGTGACTCCTCTAGTGCCTGTTTCATTGCCCTGGCAATTTATCAGGAAACAAAAATATGGCCTGATCACTTCAGTGGGGTTTGAATCAGTATGTCACCTTCATCCTGGAATTGGAGGGGGAAAATGAATGTCTGTTCATTGGTTCCAGGCTCTTAAATAATTTCATTTTGAAATAGTTGAAACTGCAGATTAGAATTTCAAGTGTTCATAAGTCAGGTTCTGTATTCAGTGTATGAACTGCATAAGTTGTTGATTTTTACTGTGGCAGCATTAATTACTGACACAATTGGAATGTGTTGCAGGTTATTTTGTCGGATGCCAGTGCTCCTGGTGAAGGGGAACATAAAATCATGGATTACATTAGGAGACAGAGAGGTAAAATTCAAATAAATGTGGACCTTTTGTTTTAAATTAAGGTATGGCCAGTAATAGTTTATTTTACATGACTTTGACTAAATGTAATTTTCTTTTGTACAGCTCAACCAAATCATGACCCAAACACTCACCACTGTCTGTGTGGGGCTGATGGTGAGTTCTCTCTTGCTAGAAATGTGTCCTGTTAAGCTTCCTTGTGCTGTTCTGGGATTGAATTGGACTGTGTCTCACTTGGGAATGTGTAAATAGTCCGGTGGATTTGTCAGTTTTGGAAAGCTGTGTGTAATGGATGGGGAAGGGTCCAGCCCTGCCCACAGCTCCCTGGGGTTGTCCTGAGGGGGTGGTTTGTGGGTAAAGCACATTGGTGTGTTCAAATCAGTCCAGCAGTTTAATTACCTAGGCA